TGGTTATTATTCTACACATGAAGTAAAATAGGCGTGAAAATCTCGTTTAGACACACTATAAACGATAAAATGTATGACGTAATTCTAATTATTTAAAGTAAGAACAAAAAATTTATATTAAGAAAAAAAAAGAAAAATTAAATAACATTTTATAATTATTATATTAAAGGGATGATAATTTTAATATTGTGACATATATTTTCATAATCGATAAAATCATACCGCTGTCTATACTTCTTTTGGATATCTACATTTAAAGTTAAATACACATTAAAATTGAGTACTTCAAAGTAATGTATGTGAGAATTTCAATTTTCAAAAAGGCGGTTCCAATATGGCGTCAAAATCTGTTGCAATGTAGTCTAGGTTATGTAAACACATTAAATATCGTCAAAATATTATAAAATTTGCTTGAAATTTGTTACCTGGAGATTTTCAATTGCTGATTACGAATTTGTAGACGGTTTTTCGAAATTCAAAATGGCGGGTTCAATATGGCGGATGAAAATTTAAAAAATTCATTGTTTTCACTTGAAACTTGCTATTTACGGTTTTTTTGGAAAGTAAATAATTAATTTGATGTCAGATTTTCAAAATAGAAAATGGTCACTGATTGCAAAAATAACATTCCTTCTGCAACCAGGATACCTCCACGTGGTGACGGTGGGCAACGCACTTGTTTTCTGTCGTCCTGATCAGTTTTTTTAAACATTTTCCGCCATATTAGATCTGCCATTTTGAATTTTTAAAAGCTGACACCAGATTCGTAATCAGCGACCCCAAAAACCCCCAAGTAACGATTTTTGAGTGTATTCAATAAATTTCTAACTTTCATGTCCGTCTTATTGGATCCGCCATTTTGAATTTTTAAAAACTGACATCAAATTCGTAATCAGCGACCCCAAAACCCCCAAGTACCAAATTTCAGGCGAATCCAATTAGTTTTTTAACAATTTTCCGCCATATTGGATCCGACATTTTGAATTTTAAAAACTGACACCAGATTCGTAATCAGCGACCCCAAAAACCCCCAAGTAACGATTTTTAAGTGTATTCAATAAATTTCTAACTTTCATGTCCGCCATATTGGATCCGCCATTTTGAATTTTTAAAAACTGACATCAAATTCGTAATCAGCGACCCCAAAACCCCCAAGTACCAAATTTCAGGCGAATCCAATTAGTTTTTTAAAAATTTTCCGCCATATTGGATCCGACATTTTGAATTTTAAAAACTGACACCAGATTCGTAATCAGCGACCCCAAAAACCCCCAAGTAACGATTTTTGAGTGTATTCAATAAATTTCTAACTTTCATGTCCGCCATATTGGATCCGCCATTTTGAATTTTTAAAAACTGACATCTATTGAATTCTGACCCCGGATTCGGATTCAGCGACCCAAAATACGTATGGAATGACTAGTGTAGTTCGTCGGACAAACATTTTTTTTTGTGGGCCTGTGATATGAATCCGTCATTAGATAATGAAAATTCAAAATGGCGGATATAATATAGAGGTAGATTTGTTTTTAAATTCAACGGTTTTATTTGAAATTTAATATTTGGGGGTTTTTGAGTTTGTTGAATATTAATATGTACTTAGATTTTCAAATTTCAAAATGGCGACACCAAAATGGCGGTAGATTGTTAAAAAAAATTATTGGATTCGTTTGAAACTTGTTACTTAGGAGTTTTTGGGGTCGCTGATTACGAATTTGAAGTCAGTTTTTCAAAATACAAAATGGCGTATTCAATATGGCCCATGAATTTTAGAAATTTTTCAAATTTACTTTGAAACTTAGACGTTGGTGGTTTTTATTGTTCCTGATTATGAATTCGATGTTAAAATTTAAAAAATATTAATAGTAACCTCATGAGAGAAATGTGTTGAACAATTAATAAAAATTGAAAGAAACCATCGTGTAATAATGTAATTTAGAAGAATATCGTCTAAAGAGGATTAAATAAAAGAATTGAGTAAAAGTGCAATCTTTCAAGGTATCTTGGGGCAAAAGAGAAGAATCTAATTTTTCAAAGTAAACATGCCAATCTCTTTTCGATACGATTACTTTCGCATCGCCGCGTCGAGTATTTTTCTCGACTTTTTCTTTCTCCGTTAAATTTTCACTATAAGAAGGATGAAAAAAAAGTTCAATATATATATATATATCGAATAGAAGAACATTTACGAAAATTGAATTTTGACATGTACAGGTCAACTGTCACTTGCTGTTTGTGTGTGTGTGTGCCATTGGTAGTGTAAATTTTATCCAAAGAAAATGTTTTTGTTTCATACAATATATTTATATATGTGTGAAAAACAAATAGAAAATTGTATTTTTGATATTGGAAGGTGTATTCCACCATCGTTGATGAATTATGTCGCTAAGTACAAAAATGGAGTAATGGATGTTTCGGAGTTGGGCGTTCGTAATATGATTAATAATGCCACATAGGACAATTTTTCACACGATGGCTGTAACTTTTCAAATTCCAGGAAACGATTCGTCAAGAACGTCCCACTTTGCGCGCGAGCCCTCCAGGGAGAAATTAGATATCATGGAAATTGCAAAGTAACCAAATGTAATATCCAGATTTTGCCGCGGGACACTTGATAACAAAAAATTTATCACTAAGAGAACGCGGCGGAAGGAAGTGAGCTATAAAATATAGGAATTTTAAAATAAATGTCAATTTAATTCTTCCTAACTATTAAATTACTTTTCTAGAATTACTTTTTGACTTTTCTTGATCATTTATTTTTTAGTTAAAAAAAGGAATGCCAAAAGCATTAGATTAATAGTCAATCTGAAATAAAATAAATATCGGTTCTGATTTGTAATTTTGATTTGTTAGGAAAAAATTCTCGTGAGGCATTGCTAATTCTCGTCGGATTACAAAGATGTTAAGGATATTATTACCAATCATTGGATAGTGGAAATCATCAGAGGAAGAATTTTCTATATTCAGATGAGAGTCACAAATATTTAAGAACACCAGGAAGACGAAAATGCTGTTTTGTTGATGATCTGTGAAAATACTACAGGCAGCCATTTTCCTATGGAATTCTCACATCAATCAATTCAACATCGGGTAGTTCAGGAATCTGCTTTACCGACGGCCACGTATCGATTATTATCGATTGCGGATATTGTATTGAATATTAATTAATCCAAATGACATCGAGAAGAGAGGGCGCTGATTAGCGACGCTTTTGAGTTTGACTCGTCGGCCATTTTACTCTCATTCTCATCCTGGTGTTCGTCGAGTTAGTGTCATTCTCTTTTAGTGAAATATTTCAAAATGTAAAGTCAGACGAGGCGATGATCGTCGTCGTTATTATGTAAATTCGAATGGTGAATCCCAATTATTTAATTTAAAGGTAGTTTTTATCCAAATCGATCTCATTAATATTAAAATATAATTGAATAAATAAAATATAAATCTTGTCTTTCGGTCTTCTGACATTATTGAACTTTTTCTAAATTTTGAAGTGAATATTAATAAATAGTGTAATTGTTGTAAATTTTGTGTAATTAAAGGTGTTTATCCTTAACTCCTCTCTCCATAGTCTATTCTTGCTGTAATGTAACAAAAGAGTTCCTGAGCTGATCTCCTATGTAAAAATTGTAAACTTTTACTTTGTCTGATTAGTTAACTATTTTTTGGTTTAGCTATTTTCTATAAAATAACTTAGCCGCGGACAATAATGAAAATTAAATAAGTATAGATAACGTAGTTTGAATTAAAATATAAAAACAAAATAATCTCAAAAACTATTTTATATACGTTTGAGTACTGATTTCTTGTAAATTGAGGCAAAATTTCATTTAATTTTATATCGATTCAAATTATTTCCAAGTGATAAGGCACTGAATTATATATAATTTATACGTTTCGTCTCTAACTGCTGACAATGTAGTGCAATATTAATTCAACTTGAGTAGACAACAGTAAGTTCTTTAATCTGAATGATTACGGAATAATAAAGTGCATTTGTCGTTTCTCACGACTTTAGAGAGGATTATTTAATAAATAAAACACTCGAAAGAACAGTAATCAATAACGACTTTTAGCTAACGACATCTTCTGATACTAATTTTCTTATTTTTCAACTTATTTTTAATACATTGATGCTCAGACTATAAATATTTTTTATTCATTTTCCCCCAAATGTCAAGTTTCAAGTGAAATCGACAGATTTTAAAAAAAGGTACCTCCATATTAGATCCGCCATTTTGAATTTTCAATATCTTATGACGAATTCGTAATTAGCAACCCCAAAATCCCCTAAGTATAAAAAAATATCAAAATAAAAAAAGAAATTTTTCTTTTACGTCAAAATATTTAACTTTTTAAAAAACTTAATTCTCGAATATTCATGAAAAATAGTTTTTTTTTCGTTTATAATTTTCTGATAAATTATTAAAAAAAAGAAGACGAAGTTCCAAGTGAAGGCTCTTTTGTAGATTTTTCCCGAAGACTAGACTTTAAAGTTTTGAAATTCAGAACAAACTGAGAAGTCGACAGAATTGAAAATATATTTCCTCCTAAATTGAATCTATGTAGAATTCGTAACTTTCAATACTTTTTACAGTGTATAAGAAATTGCTTTATTGCAAAAGTCGTAACTTCATTTACGATTTCAATAGAACTCGTTCAAATTAACCACTTATTTAAATTAAATTTTTCATTCAACAAAATATAATTATATTCATTATATACAATTCCTTTGAAAAGTATATATTCATTGTATTAATGAAACATGTTCTGATTTTTATATTCTAATTTCAAAAAACATCCAATACTTTAAATTGTATTGAAAAAAATCTAATATCACGAAAATCTATTCTGCAATTTATTTATAATTAAAAAAAATATATTTCGGTGAAAATAAATATTCAATTATTGAAAAAAAAAGAACACTATAAAAGTAATTATAGCATGCGATTATAATCTAATTATATCCTTTAGTAATTATTTATTATTTTCTGTTACAGAAATAAAATGCTGCTTATTTCACCTATCATGTCTCGTAAAAAATAAGGTATGTATGCACTTATCTTGAAATTTTTAATAAATCATTTTTCTTATCCTTCATATACCTGCTAATGTAATTACTACTACTACTGATAATACGTTCTACTTTGATACAGTATGTTGTAAAGAACATAAGTTTTAAATTAAAAAATGGTACTATCTTTATTTGAAAAAAGAAAATTTTAATTGCGTTTTTATCATCAGAAATAAACCTAATATTTCATTCTAAAAATAATTAATCAAAAGAAATATAAGCTTGTTTATAGAATTATACTTTAAAATTAGTACACGAGAAAAAATTAAATTCGATCCATGAAAATCTGAGTAATTTTAGAAAGTTCAAGCAACTTATGTTATTAAATTATAAAACATAAACTTTTGGAAAATTTTAAACTCAGCGCTTATATTTTAAAATTCAAAAACAGAATTTTTAAGTTTATGTTGAATTTAAAGCCAGATTTTTTTAACGTTATGTCCTAAATTTGTTATTTGTTCTCTTAATATTTAAAGTTTTCCTACTTTAAGAACTTATGTTTGCCTAATCTAACCTTCAATTTAGCTTAGTTTAATAAAACTGAGTAGAGTAGAAATACTATTAAATGAATGTTAATTAATTTATTAATTATAAAATCATTTATTAATAAAATTCAATATTCTCAATTATTGATAATTTGGGTAAGACGAATTTCCTTTAAATCAATAATCCTTTTCGTAATAAGTTTTTCTAATTTTTACTTATTAAATGTAGGCGAAGATTTCTATGAGTGGATCCACTCTAATTTACAATCTAAGATCAAACTATAATAGCTCCTTGGTTGACTTTTACTACTTTGCGATAAGCGATTAGTGTGGTCCCTTTGTATGGATTACTCCGGCTTTCGTGTCTACAAATTTGAGTGTTGATAGTTCTTTCACCTTGAAGATTTTATGTAACCGAGTTAAATGCACTTAAGAACTGAACTCGCTGTTTACTGCTTTAACACTTCTGTTTATACTATGGTTGGTTGTCCGCTACGAAGAGTCTTGTAAATTTTTGGTAGACCTTGTCATGGTGGTGGGGTTTTTCACTAAAGGACATCCAAAAACCAAAATGTAAGGTAAGGAGAAAAAGGTATATGTAAATCAAAGGATTAAATAAGGACGTTTACTTTGCAGGGGAGGGATACCCCAGTACCGGCGTTGCTGGAAGTGAGCAAGTTGGCTTTCCCGTGTCGAAATCCAGTGACAACAGTGCTGCAGTATTGAAGACTTTAGGTACTGCAACATCCAATGTCATAAGGAGGATGGATCATGGGAGCACCCAGTTTCTTAAGGTTCCCCAGGTCCGTTTGAAAAGACTTGGAAGGAGAAAAGAAAGCGCTTTAAACGTTTCGAGTGTTAGCAGCGAAAGAAGTTTGATTCCGTCTGACCTAGAGAACGAGACAATTGAAGAAGAACGCGAGATGTATTTAAAGAGGCAGGAGGAAGCTGAGTGTATTTAAAGGATCAAAGAGGAGATCACCAAGTTTGTAAAGTCTTGCGAAGTACAGAAGAATGTCAACATGACTCTTAAGGACGGAATTAAGGCTCTACGGGTTCTTAACAGTGAAACGGAGACAAAGCATTTCTTATCAGATAATGGTCTTAGAAACCTTAGTGGTGCTATAGGCAATGCGGAGGTGAACCAAAAAGAGCGAAGGTGACGATAACACCGAATCCTAAGCAAAGCAGTAAGAAGAAAGCGACGAGTGGATCTACAATGGTGATCCGAGTTCCGACAGGAACAACGTATGCCGATGTACTGATCAAACTTCAGAGGGAAGTGAATCCGGACGTTAGCCACAAGCAGGTCTTAGGTGCAAGGGATACAAGAAAAGGAGATGATCTGATCAAAATCGGAGGAGACTCCAATAAGGAGGCATTCACTGCTGAGGTAATTAAAGCGGTTGGCAGCTTAGGGAAGGTTCTCGACAGGTCACACTGGAGATCCGCGACCTGGATTGCCTTACCAAGGAAGAAGAGGTCCAATAGACGTTGGCAGAAGTGCTCCAAAAGCCAGGAAGCAGGATAGTATTGGTCCTAGGACCAAACTGACAAAGAATGAAACTTGTAGTTGTATTCGCCGACTCAGGCTGGACAGGCTTGAGAAATTAGGACGCATAAGTATTTGCTTTGTGTGCTGACGTTTTGAGTAAGCTTCGTAAGTGTGTCAACCCGGACTTTAGGGACAAGAGAGTAGTAGCAGCGAGAGCTACAAAGAAGGAAGACCTGATCAAAATCGGAGAAGACTCCAAGAAGGAGGCATTCACCACTGAGGTCATCAAAGCGGTTGGAAGCATGGGACAGGTTGGAAAAAGTCACTAGTTCCTGGCGTACGGCAGCATAGGAAGAGTTTGTAAGACAGCGAATAGATCGACTGCGTGCTTTAAATTCGGTGAAGTCAATCATAAGTTTGCAAACTGCAGTAGAAGTCCAAGCTTATTCTTATGTAGAGAATAGTATGACGATAAGGCGAACATTAGCCATGTCGCAGGCAGCGGAGGATTCGGAGTCCTCAGGATTCTTTTGAAGAGTCCAAGAAAATTCACACGAACGAAGAATAAATAGGCCAGAAAGATCGAAAAAGGCAAGGGAATTAAGATTACGGTGCAGCCATGCCAGTTAAGCTTACAGAACCAGGACTGCAGTTTAAATTTTCTGTGGGGTACTTTTTTACCCCAGTTGTAGTGTTTAGACTAAATAAGATCAAAATATACTATAGACCAAGTTACATGTTTCTCACAAAGTTCTATTTTTTGTGCCTTCATATTGTTCATTGTGTTAATTAACTGAATTTGTAAGGAGAATAAAAAGTTGTGACCTTGTAATTTTATTCGTTGATTGGGAAAAGAAAAGGTGCTGTTATCTTGGGAAATTTTAGTCAAAGAATATAAGAGCTAATTGAGATTAGGGAGAATGACATAGTTGATGAAGAATCACAAGGAAAATTCATGGATGTTCATGGGCAAAAAAGAGAGGAATGAAAAACAGATATTAAAAGGAGAAGTAGATCCGAAATAAGTGCCAAATCCTCGAGAACTACCTGGAGCCAAGCAATCAAGAGTTTTTGGAGTGGTTTATCAGAAAAAATTAAAAAAAACAAAACAAAACCGAATAATTTTCCGTGTAAAGATTGTGAGATAATTAAAAATTGCATTGACATGCTTATTGCTTTGAAAAATCTACGAGAGGTTGATAATTAAATCAATAAAGTTTGGAATTATTCAAGAACTAGGACTGACAAGAATAATAATCCAATTGACCTAAAAAATTATAGAAATCATGAAGAGGGATGGAAATACCGGAATTTTTGTTTACCAAAATTATGATCGTTTTTAAACTGATTGGATTTAATTTGAATTGTTTCTCCAAAACTACAAATTAAATAAATTCTTCAGGTGTTTTAAAAGAAAAAATAGTTGCCAGAGGATCGAGAAATCGTGATAGTAGCATCCGTAGCCATTATGTAAATTTAAAATAATTATTTTCGACTAATTATACGTTAAGTATTTTATCATCTACTAATAAACAAAACAACTTGCCCTACTCGAAAACAGGATAAATCCCAGTTTGGATAGAACACAAGTCATTCATAAAAAAAAAGTTTTAGCAAAAAATACTGAGATAGGAGAATCAGTGGGTGTTCCATTAATTTGTTGATGGTATTTTCCATCAAAACAAAAAAGAAAATGTTTTTATACAGAAAGATGATATAATTCAAAATGTCAGATTTCTACACTTGTTAACTAATGTTCTTCTAAAGCCATTGTATTTAATTAGATCATTGGTAAAAAGGCGTCAAGGGAAACCGTAATTTTCTGAAATTTTAACATTATTCGGTGACAAATTAACTAATTTCAAAAGGGAATTGAATTACTCTAATAAATAATTATTTAGTTCCCAAAGTTATGTCATCATTTGATAAACTATATTTAGAAAAAATTAACAATCCACTAATAGTTTTGATAATAATTTTTAATATGAACGAATTTTAAATAGAATTGTTGAACTTGAAAATTAGACCAAACGCACAGCAAAAGTGTGAAAAGTTGGATTCAAGCCGCATATCGATCGTCAACACATGAGAGCACAAGAGGCGTGAAAAGAGTCCAAAAGACTAAAAAAAGAACAGTTCAAAAAGAATACGAGAACTGTTTCTGCCACTATGGAAGAAGTTTTATGTAGGCCGGGAATTGTGAATTAAAAAGTAATATAAAAAAACCTACTTTAAAATGAAATTTCCATTTTCTAAAAACTACAATTTTTTTTAAAGTAGGACATATATTTTAGAAAACATATTCAAACGATTACTTTTTTTTAAAAAAAAAATTATCTTTTTTTTTATGAAAAGGAAATTCTCATTTGAGTAAAAATTTTGTTTTCATCTAAACGAAAATTTAAAAATTTGTTCGTTTCAGATGAAAAAGAATGTTTGCAACATTTTTATTACCTCAGCTTGTAATAAAAGAGAAGACGAGCTTTTATCTCTTCTTGTTTTTTAATAAAATTTCAAATACATATTTGAGAATTTATAATTTGTTGATGTAACCTAACCATATTATTATGAATATTCAGATTATGGTTACGTCATCATCTTCCAGATACCCTCACAACAAAAGGATATTCAGGATATCCTTGGGACGTCCTGGGGATATCGATTTGTTTTCGGCGGTTTGGATATCCCTGGGATATCTTAGAGATGTCCATGGATATCCAGAGGATATCTTAGGGATATCCGAATCTCCAAAAGCAAATGGATATCCCCAGGACGTCCCAGGGATATCCTGAATATCCTTGTGTTGTGAGGGTATTTAATTCTACTAATAATAATGAGTTTATAATTAAATTCCTTGAATGTCTGACTATATTGATCCGAGCTTCATTAAATCCATGTAAAATTTGTACCTTGTAGACGGTAGAATATATATTTAATCAAAAATATTTCTAAACTATTTTTGCCTGTAAAATTGATAGGATCAATTTTCTCCA